GGCAATGATAAAATTTTGTACCTCCAAACATATCTTTAATATAATTTTCTATTTCAGATGGCTGACACGAACTCCTACAGTTTGGAAGAGAGGCTTCTCGATGTATGACAGCGTCAATGAAAGTGAATAAACTGAATCCAGTACATGTGCATTGTATTACTTGTTCTTCTAGTCTTCTCATTACTATTTGGTAGGGTGTGACAAAACTTTCGGATCACCCTGTACTACTGCGATTAAATTGGTAAAGTCTAGGTGACACAAAGGAAAGTTCATCAGAACAATTACCATTTATGGAAAGGGCATAGGGAAGTCACGTTACGGCGGTAGGAATGTTACTGAAGCCGAGACGCCAGGTCAGGATCAATAATATTGCAGATTCTTCTTTAGAACTTATCAAGAATCTCTAAATACATATCAGGAGTACCAGACCAGATGTGACAGCAATATTCAAAGCAAGGAAGAATGGTAGACTTATAAATATGTAAGATAGATTATAGCGAGAAAATTTTTTCTTAGTCCGACACAATGAACCAAATTTCCTAGATGCAGACCTAGCAATTGATTCAATGCAATCTTTCCACTTCATGTCAACGGAAAATATTGATCTGAGAAGGTTAGTATCAGCCATACTGATGAAAGATAAAAAGTTCTCACAGATGATTAAAAGAGAGCAATTTCTTTGGGGGTTAAGAAGCCGTTTCTTAACAACAAACTGAAAGTCATTCTTGCGATCAGCTCATCGGTCCGATCAGACTCACTAAGATAAAAGCAAATAATTATGTAATTACTACGGATAATCGAAATGAGAATTCATGACATCAGAAAGGTCATTTATGAAAATTAGGAGCAACGTAGATCAAAGGAAAGAGTCATAGAAAACACCTGCATTAAGGTAAAATGATCTAGAAGAATGGCCATTCAAGACGACATACATTTCGCAATTTGATAAGACAGACTGAATCAATTCAAAAACTCTTCCAGAAATACCATATCCTTTCAACTTGTGAAGAAGACAAGTATAACAAACTCTGTCAAATTTTGTCCATGAGCTGTTTACTAAAATCACACAAATTCACAGAAAGGGTTCTTATAGCCTTTTGGATTTTATAAATTAAGCGGTTAAAAAATACTAAGAGGGAACTGGTTCTTAATTTTATAGAACAAAAACTTGGGACATAAAAGAAGAGAGAAGCCGTTCATTATAACATTTGTACCCAAGCACTGGTACCGTTCAATATAGATTTATTAAATTATAATCCAGTTTATGTTAGATATATATGTGCTCTTAACCTTTTGAGGTGGTGACCCTAAATCCATCATGGCGAAGCATGTTCTCATAAAAAAGGATTGATTTTGGCCAAGATTCTTTTTAAAAATTACTCGTTGTTATGAAAGATAATCAAAATGAATTTACAATCTTTTTGATAAGGTCAGTTAAATCCCAAAAACATTATCAGGGGATCCATTAGAGCAAGCAATTATTCTATACATACACACACACACACACACACACACACATATATATATATATATATATATATATATATATATATATATATATATATATAACATTAAACAAGGCAATAGAGCCACTAGATGCAGGATGTTAGATAGTATTAAAGAATATGAGAATAAAAAACGTATTAAGGAGTCAATTATGTGCCATGCGTGATACACGCGTAGGTGATCATGTATCTTTCGATACATGACTGACGAGGCAGATTTTTTCCCATTTCCATCCAAGGCTATAGAACCTGGTCTGTCATACTGTTTACTCATAGCTGGAGGGAGAAGGGCCACCCAAGGCGGACAGGTCTGACACACACGCCGGCTAATAAGGGCTCTGGTGAAAATCCAAGGTGCGTCTGCATCGGTAACCGGCGGCTTCTGGTCGTTCCTGTCTCTGCGTCTGTGGGAACCCCGCGGCAAGCAAGAACGTTATCCGAGTAGGCCTGGGTACCCTACTTCTGTAATTTATCCCAAGAATCTTCTTCTCATAACAGAAAGAAGCCGGCTCAATCCGCCCAAGGTGAATGCCGCATTAACAAGATATTTTCATTGAAATTTAAATTATGTAACAGTCAGTCTCTAACCAACACCTGAAGATTGTGTTGTGCATGAAACTCCGAGTGGTACTACCGGTGAGGGACAATATGCAGATTTATTGATATATGTACTTAAGAGCTCTGTTATGTTACATAGAGCACTAGTTTATTAACACCTTAACACAATGAGCAATATCTCATATATATATATATATATATATATATATATATATATATATATATATATAATATACGCCTACGAACAATACTCGATCAGAGGCCGCTAATTCCCATAAATATTCATTTTCCCTTTACTCGTCACGTGATCTAATTATTTCAAGGTGAGGCCGACTGTACTTGCTTTCTGACGATCCGTGTTCAAACCCAAGTGTCGGCAGCGACAATTTATTCCTATTTGACACACACACACACACATATATGTATGTTTTGAACAATAAAAAATATTAAAAAATTAAAATTTTCAGACACACTGGGTTGTATATTAATGTTTTTTTGTTTTTTTTTTGTTTTATTATTTCAATTAGATTCCTCGACTAGTTTCGACCGGCATGGACATCATCAGGAGAAAAAAATGAAAACTGTCCAACATTTGGATATTTTTTATTATGCTGTTCCTTGATTTAAATTGAAAATTTCAAATTTCGGCTGACTTTCAAGACATTTTAAATTTTTTTTTTTAAATCGATATCACCCCATGCAAGACAGTAAAGCCACTAAGACACAACGAATTACAGTGTGTGGAAGAATTAGGAACAGAAACATTAATAATGCGCGGGAAGAGAAAACATGAATCATGAGAACAGTAGATAGCGATTGACATTGCATTGAAAATTTTGCAAATATTGAACAGTTTTGGTCTTTATTTTCTCCGAAACTAAAGCCATTATACGAAGCTTAGAACGGCTCATAATCAAGCATAAAAGACATTCGTTGTCTGTTATATTTAACAATATTTGATTGAATAATGATCTGCTGCCCCAATTCACTATACAGCAAGGATATATAAACGATAGAAATAATTTGGAATGGATTTGATATAAACAAATCAAAGTAATTCATTGAGTCTAGAAGAATCCTCAGCACAATGCAGAAAGTACTTGAACCAGCTTCTAATGCTCTGGAAGAAGCGGCTTGGGAAAAGAAGACGTTGCTTATGAAGGGCACAATCTTATGGGAAAAGGTAAACTTGGATGTGTTACACCACGGAAAGTTAGAATAGCGCTATATCGAGTCTAGATCGTTGCCTCTCCGTCACCGAGACCTGTTGGTCTAGTGGGTATGACGCTTGCGTCGTATCGTAATGGTCCGTGTCCGATTCCCGATAGTGGAGGTGCACCGCCGATGAGTACCAAAATTCTGCAGGGGTTTCTTTCTTCCGGACTCGATGAATTATTTCGTTATATATATATATAATTTTTAAATGAAGTGGGTTGGGAAAACTATTTTTATCACCTCATATATACGATATATATGATATAAATGATATATCATATATATATATATTTATATATATGATATATCATATATATATATATATATATATATATATATATATATATATATATATATATATATATATAAAATTTCTCAGAGTTAACCCGTAGAAAAAGACATAATTTATAAATGTAAAAGACAGTAGGAAAACTGTAATAGTTGCCAACGCGTTTCGTCGAGTGTGAACTTTTTCAACGCAAAAAACGAAATGAAATTAATTAAACAAAGTAACTAATGATAACAAAAACAATATGAAAATAGCGTTCTCTTAATTCTTCCAGTTGCTAAGGACATTTTGTTTTTGTTAGTATTAGTTACTTTGTTTAATTAAATTCATTTCGTTTTTTTGCCTTGAGAAAGTCCACATCGGACGAAACGCGTTATCAAATATTACAGTTTTCCTATTGTCATTTATATATATATATATATATATATATATATATATATATATATATATATATAATATAAATAAAATATAAGATATATAATCCGGTGTTCCTATTCATATTTTTTTATTTTTAAAAAACAGTGTTCTATGTAAATTTACAGAGCATAAATATTATAAATTAACTGATTCAAAATATGGTTTCTTCGCTACAGAGTATACGAAAAAATGCCGAAAAAACCTTTTGTCGTTAATAATAAAATAAAAAAAAAATAGACGTTTAATGGATGTCAGAATTCGTTGAAAAATACACCCCTACCTTCTCTAAACTTAACCTCTTTTTCGAACGTAACTCCTAATTGATACAACAATAGTTAATAAAAATGAACACGCTACCACACCTGTCTGAATGATTGGATTTCTCTGTATCCTTGGAAATAAGAAATTATGAATTTATATGTGCATTTAAAACTCAGTAAATTTAAAAATAAGTTATTCCAAAATTCGCTTGAAGATGAAAGAGAACTAATGCTTTTAATTTCATTATATAATTAAATTTGAAGTTTTTAGCTTCAGTTTTTGAAACATGGTTATTACTGTGTAGCGAAGAAACCATATTTTAAATTAGTTAATTTATAATATATATATTAGAGATTATATTTATCAATCACCTGTTGTAATTTTGATAAGAAATAGATTGTCTTCATTTTGGTACCAGTTTCATTATTCTGTCAGGTTTAAAACTGTGACGATAGGGTTGGTGACTTTCGTTATCAAACAGACTCCATAATAGTTGTTGCGGCTTTTATCGTTTTGTATGTGGAGGAAGAATTTGGTCGTTTTTTTGTTGATGTAGTTTTCATTATTGCAAGATTGGTAATCCTGTCTCTGTTTATCAACTGGCATCTAGCCTCAGGTATACACGATGCAGGATGCAACTCCATTAGTACATAATCAGACAGCCTTATTTGCAAAGCATCTATTACTAAAGACCTTCAAACTGAAGACAGCGAGAGCTAGAAAGGGAGAGAGAAATACTGAGACATGGTCCATACGGATTCAGCGATCGTAATATCGTAATAAGAATACTTTAATTTCTCCTTTGCTTGTCGCCGAGCAAAACGAACGAATAAATAAAAGAAAAGTGTGAAGAGTAAAAGTCCAGCGTGGACGAGGAGGAGACGGCAGAGAAAATGATTTCTTTTGACTTTACCAACTACGAGACCCCGGTTACCATGTTCATTAGCCAGCATATTGACTGTCTGTATCGGGGTTCTCTGTTATTCACCGGGGTTCAGCGGACTGGCGAGGCTAGTGAGTGAAAGGTAACGATCGCCAAAGCAAGCCGATCCACAACGAGGCGACGGCTTCTGTTCTTTGCCTCGCTTCTCAATCAAATGCGATCAACGTACTTGTTACAAGAAACGGAGGAGAACGAAAAGAAAACCTTTAACACGCTCCATATACCATGTCAACCTGGAAAGCTTGCATCTAAAACGCACAAAGGCGGGCGGAAGATGGCGGTTGATAGTAAATGGTTGCTCAAATATCTGATTATCACTCATTCATAGCAGTTCCGAATAAAGAGCTGAGAGGATCAAGCCACTTTACTAAGTATATAATAGCCAGCAGTCACTGAAGACGCCATTGCAAAAGCCTAAACAAATGGCGGTAGATGCGCCTCGGAAGATGGCAACGTATAGAGATGCGTGGGTGGTCGGGAGGGTGATGTCAGTCGAAAGCTTCCATCGATTGGAGATCGATAAGCACAAACGGACCAATTGAAACGGTATGAATTATCGGCCGCTTGCAAATGACAATGGACCCGCTGAATGGTTTGCGTACGTTCAGCTCTGAAAGGAATAAACTGGTCGGGAAGGCGATGGGAGGAGAATTTTGAAGATTTCGTGTGCAAATCTGATAAACCAGCATCAAAACAGCTGAAAGGCTTTTGGATTGCGTATGAAAACACTCGAAAATCGTGCGCGTTCGAAACTGGCTTATTTCGACATAGGTCTGCAACGGGCGAAGCTAGGTAATTTTTCGACTCAGTCTGAAACGATACACGCCGGCTCTTGCTATATCACAGCTAACTCATACATTTGATTGAGGGATTGATTGACTGATCATACACGCCTTTTCTTGGTAGATTACCTAACTCATGACTCATACGTTTGGTTGATTGATTTTATTGTTATAGCTTAACCTTTTGTGGGTTATTTATATTTTGGGGCAGTGAGAGTAATTCTTTATTTTTAAAAGTGAATATTGCGTTAACAATTATTTTGAGTATAACAATAATTTTTTCCAGTCCTACTATTTAACCCATACATAGGGAGATGGTATAGATTCATACCTTTCCCAAGTTTATTACGCGTAAGTGAATGTAAGGAACCCGACCGAAATTCGAACACGGCTCTTTTTCTTTTTCTTTACTAGTCGCAATCAATTACACCACCTGCACATCCACTCATGAACTCATAGGACCATTCCGCGTTGAATGCTAAAAAATCCCAAATGCAAACGCAATGTTCTACCAGTGTATAGCAACTGTGCAATACTTTCTAAACTCTTCTTAATTAATCGAAAAGTTCTTTTTTGTTTTTTTTTTTTTTTTTTTTTTTTTTTTTTTTTGGTTCATTTTGTGGGGGTGGGGAGTTCATAGCTGCTGGACAGAATAAGGAAAAAGGGCTTGGCAAATTTAACACTCACAGGGCATGTGGAAAACAGCGATTGACCTACCTAACAAGGTAGTGCAAATGGATGGCAGAACAGAGTTTCTCCTCCTCTTTTTTCTGCTTCCACTGATTGCTTCTCCTTCCTCCTCTTTTCAATCTTCATTGATTCCTTTTTTCCATTCGACATAGATTCCTTCTTTCTCCTCTTTTCTATCTTCCATTAATTGCTCCTCCTTCTTCTTTTCTATCTGACATAGATTTCTTCTTTCTCCTCCTCTTACCCATCTTTCAATTTCTTCTTCCTCTTTTTTCCAGCTTCCACTAAGACTTCAACCTTTCCCATATTTTATTGATACTTCTTCATCTTTTTCTTTCGATTCCCTCCTCCTCATCTTTCTCTTTTTTCGCCCCCCCTCCTACAGTCCTCCTCTTCTTTTTTTCTTTTCTACCGTTTTCCTCTTTCCCTCGCAACTACAGAAGCCCGTTTCTTTATAGTGACGACGATTGACATTTATCGACTTTGAGAATACATCATCGACACTGAAAAGAGAGAGAGAGGAAAAAAAAAGAAAAAAAAAAAGAAGGAAAATCCAGATTTTATCTTAGGCCGTAAATTAGCGCGGAAAAATGTTACGGTGGAATTTTTGGAAAATCTACAACCGCCTGTAGATTAAAATCGATGAGATCTTAATAAGGAGTTTTTTGGGTTTTTTTCGTAAATGTCAATTTTTCGAGCCATATTTTAATGCTTGTATTGGCGCATGGGAAAGTATCCACGGATGCCTGCATCTCTCTCTCTCTCTCTCTCTCTCTCTCTCATATATATATATATATATATATATATATATATATATATATATATATATATGTATGTATGTATGTATGTTTGCATGTGTGTGTGTGTGTATTTTGGCAGCATGTCGTTATTAGGGCATGAGTTATTAAAGACTACAGGACTCTTCCGCTTGTTGATCTTTTTCTCAGTTTTTTTTTCTTGCTTCCGCGCAAGTTTCTTAATGTTTGGGTCCAGGTTGTTAAAGTAGAATCCCAATCAATAGCTTTCTGCCGAGCGCTTTCAGTTATCCTCAAATGTCATCATGGCGTTTGTTTTTGCTTGGAGATATGTTATTGGTTGTTCTAGCTTTACAGTTAATATTAGACGATATTATTGGCTTAGTTCATTATTAGTAAAGAGGGGATTGAAATTTTTTATTGGATAAAACATCAATCCCAATTTGTTTTCGTGCCTGCATTTTGAGATCTGATCGTTTATTTAATAGTTTGGCTTGGTTTGGGAAGGCAATTTTAGCTATTTTTCGTCCAAAGTTTACAGTTTGGGGATTTATTGCGGTTGGATGATGGGGGTTTCTCTTAATTTCCATGATATTTTTGGTGACATTTGCTCTTAGTTTCTCATATATGTTTCGAAAGAATTGTGTGTATTTATTATTCTAAGGATGTGTGTGCGTGCTTTTCTTTGTTTTATATTTACAAACACTCTATCCCTGATATTTAAGACTCTAACCCATAAATATAGCATACCTTAAAACTATATTTTATCAAATATATATATATATATATGTGTGTGTGTGTGTGTGCGTGTGTGTGTGTGTGTCAGAGAGAGAGAGAGAGAGAGAAAGAGATTTCTATTCAGATATAAATATATCCGTAAAAAGATTATGAATAAAACAAAAGTAAAACGCGTTTCGTTCTCAGATCAGAGGACGAAACGTGTCGGTAAAGAAAAGTTTTCCCTTCGTCTTTATTCCCATATATATATATATATATATATATATATATATATATATATATAAAAATACAGTTTTAAATTGTGCCATATTTATGGGATAAAATGCTCAATATCAGAGATAGAGCGTATGTAAATATAAAATACATATTTTTTTATTTATTTTTCCATTGTTCTTATATTTTTCCTTTTCTGTCATATTTAACGATATATATATATATATATATATATATATATACGCACTACTTACTACTATATATATATATATATATATATACACTACTTACTACTTATTATATATATATATATATATATATATATATACATTTTCTACATATATATATATATATATATATATATATATACGCACTACTTACTACTATATATATATATACGCACTACTTACTATATATATATATATATATATATATATATATATATATATATACTATTATTACTATATATATATATACGCACTACTTACTATATATATATATATATATATATACGCACTACTTTACTACTATATATATATATATACGCAATTACTTATATATATATATATATATATATATATATATATATATATACTAATTATTACTATATATATATATATATATACGCACTACTTACTACTTACTATATATATATATATATATATATATATATATTCGCACTATATTTATACTATATATATATATATATATATATATATATATATATATGTATGTATACGCACTACTTAAAATACACTTGAGTTTGTGTTCTTTTCTTATTCACATTCCTGATGATAACTCTTGTGAGTCGAAACCCTGGACTCAATATGAATTTCGAATTGGGCACCTCGACGTGGAGTAATGGTTAACAAGCTTGTCTTGCTAGATCAATTACAGCTGAGTAGTGAGTTCGATTCTCACTGGGTGCCTCATACTTTCAGCCTTGTGCCACATCTAAGCTTCGCTTAGAAAGTCATTATGGGCACTCAGACGTGGTCTAATGGTTAGCAAGCTTGTCTAGCTAGAACAATTACGAGTGAGTTCGATCCTCACTGGGTGCCCCATACTTCCGGCCTTGTGCCAAATCTGAGCTACGCCTGGAAAATCACAATATGAATTTCGAATATTTTATGCATCAACAACAGCCGTATTTTAGAAATGTTAGTTGCATACTAGAAAAAAAAAAGATCAATAAATTTAGTAGACATAACATGTCTGCTTTTTTTATAATGAGACGTTTTTACAATGACAATGCCTACCAAAATATCGTATCGTATCGCAGCCTGTGAAAGTCTGTTCTCGGACGTCAACCTTCCCCAGACTATAGGATGGAATGGATCATTACCATATAGAATTTAAATTACCCGACCGAGACAGTTCTTAATAACAAACACACATATACACAGCCACGCGTGAACATAATTTGTTTATTACTTTTCTTACGCATATACGATTGCTCTATTCTAAATACTTTTAAATATGTTTTGTAATACTCCTAAAAATAAAATTATCTTTTATATACCCATTAACAGTTAATTAACTTAAAATGTTAACTAAACATTATTTGACTGTGGCGTTCTTTGTTACCCAACGGTCACCTCTTTGGTACATCGAGTTTACGAATTTAAGCGCAGTACGAAATCCAAAGTTTCAGTGGAATAACCAAATATGCTTTCCAAAAGCTAAACCGATTACTAAGAAAAAGAAAAACTTCATTAGAAACAAAGAAAAGAGTACTGCGCTGTTACGTAATATCTGTCCACCTATACGGCATTGAATGTTCGACAATCTCCTCAAAGATGAAGATGAGACTTGAAGCAACAAAAATATGA